AGGTGCTGGGGGATCTGGCGCAGGGGGGAACTTTGTAGAGTAGGGTTGATGGTTGGATTCGATGATCCCAAGGGCCTTTTCCAACCTGTGACCACCTGGTCTGGTGGGAGGTGTCCCTGCCCAGGGCAGGGGGTGGCACTGGATGGTCTTTAAGGTCCCTTCCAACCCAAACCATTCTATGATTCTCTGATGTGTGTGTCTCTGCGATATGTTCAAACACCCCATCTCCTACCCGCCTGGCTCGCGGCTTGTGCCTTGTGCAATCGCTTGAGCGTTTTTCTTGCTTTTTTTTTTTTTCCTTCCTTTCTTTCTTGCTTTTTTTTTTGTTTTTTTCCTTTGACTTTTTCAACTTTGCTCTCTTCCTCCTCTCCTCTGCTGCCCCTGTTCTCCCGCTTGCGCCCCACAAGCACGCAGCCCACTCGAGAGCTCCATGCCCTGCCTGGCCACCCGCACCTTGGACGATGAGATGGGAGTGCAGCGCAGCCCCAGCGTGGGATGGCTCAGTAAGTGTGGGCAGGGGGACAGGGTGGGAGGGCTGGGGGGACAGGAGAAGAGACAACGTGTCCTTCCCACCAGCCGGTCCCCTAACGCTTGCTGCTGCATTAACACCAGGACGACTTGGCTGCTGCTCCGGCTGTCTGTGTCACCTTCCACTATCCACTCCTGCTTCTCTGTTTCACTCTGATGGGATATTAGGAAAAATTTCTACACCAAAAGGGTTGCCAAGCCTTGGACCAGGCTGCCCAGGGCAGTGGTGGAGTCCTCATCCCTGGAGGTATCTAAAAGCCGGGCAGACGTGGTGCTGAGGGACATGGGTTAGTGATGGGTTTGTCAGTGTTGGGTTGATGGTTGGACTCCATGATCTGAAAGGTCCCTTCCACCCTGGACAATTCTATGATTCTATGGTTTGCTTTTTTTTTTTTCCTTTCACCTGGGATGAAACAGGTAGTTCAACCTGTGCTCCCACTCAGGTGGTTGTCCCCTCCTAAGCCACACAGGGACAATTCTGCCTTCTCTTTGGTCGTTCATTGGTGAAATTTTGCCACCAACGCAGCATTATAAATGCAACGAGCTTAAATATTTTACTTTCCATACAGATGAAATACAAAAGTAGGCTCCCTTTGTCACACAGCAAACAGGTTCTGCCAGCTTTATCTCTCAGTGACCAGCTGGACTTTTCTTCAGCCCTGCTTCTCTCTGACTATCCTTTGTAGAACATCAAGAGATGTTCCATCAGGGTGAGATCAAGGGATGTTTCATTGGGAGCCTTGCTGGTGGCAGAGGAGTATTCTGCTCCCCCAGGAAGGCAACAGCTTATTGCACTGATGGCACAGAAGCGTTCTTTGTAGGCCACAGTGATCTACAGAAATCTGGATTTCAGGATATTCCCTCAGAAAAAAAGATGACTGTCGAGCCTCTTAGTGACCTGTAATCTCCCAGTGGTTGAGTCTGCTGCGGAGAGTTGCTCTGAGGAGCAGGTTTGTTATACAAACATTTAAAAATGAGTATTGGATATGTCTTTCCTGGCTTTGGGTCTTCAAAGGTGCACAACCGTGAGGAACTTGGCTCAGAAGGGATTTAGGCAGTACAGATTTGGGCCACAGTGTCCACAAAGCCAAGTGGCTTTTGTTCCAACATTGCACATGTTGCACCTTGCATTTCTAGCAGCATTTTTCTTGCAAGTGACTTTGCTTGGCAGTCAAGGTAAACTCAGGGATTTGGGGAACAGTTGCTGCAGGCTGGGATGCTGTCACGTTCCTTAGTCAGCAAAGTTGGTAAAGGGTGAAGCTTGTGGTTTCCAGGCCGTATTCAAAGACCATCAAAGTCAGTATTGAGTTGGACTGGTTTGAACATGAGGACCTTGTGAGGCATCTTCAAAAGCTGAGATGATGCACCGACACCAGACTTTAGGAGAGAACAGTCATTCTGTAGTCAAGGTCATGTTTGTAGGGAAGGGTGGTATTTATTAAATCAAGGGGTTCAACTGGAAAAGGCAGACACGGGTTTTGGCCCGTGGGTCTGTCCAGGTCAGGAATAAATAGGAGATGCCTTGAGAAGAGCTGCTGTGAGTTTGATGTGGTTATGTTGGTTACGTTGGGAGCAAGAGGCTGCTAGCAAGAGGCGATAAAGTCATTAGCCGCTTCCATGACATCTAGAGAGAAGGGTAATTATCTCCTAAGAATCACTGAGCCTTGGTCATCTAATAAACAAAGCAAACAAATGTTGTAATCTGGAAAAATATTAGCTGTGAAAGCTCTGGGCCTCGATTTTATTCTGTTTACCCCAGAACTGGACCTAGAAATTTGGAAAACCACCAAAATAGCCTGCAGAAAAAGGAGTACCTTCAGCAGATGCTTTTCTGCACAGCTCTTCTGAATAAAATACAATGAAATGGCATTAAATGACTGTATAAAACAAAATCATTAGTATTTTGTAACCAGCCTGCAGAAAAAGAAGGAGTACCTTCAGCAGATGCTTTTCTCTACAGCTCTTCTGAATAAAATACACTGAAATGGCATTAAATGACTGTATAAAACAAAATCATTAGTATTTTCTACCCTTGCTTGAAGGCTTTTGGTAGCTGTACTTATTTTCTTTCTCTGTTGGAGTCATTGGCCATGCTAGGACTCGAAGGTGTCATGGTAGGGCTTGAACAAGAGGCCATCAATCTCTGCGGTGCCGTCTCACCACACACAGGAGAACATCAGCTCTCCCAAACTCACCGGTGGCCTCGGGCAGTGTGGGACACCCAGCCCTGAGAGCAGCCCACCAGTATTCCCATCTCTGTGGGTCTTGGAACTCCTCCAGAGCTCTTCCACTCTGCTGAAGGCTTTCTGGTTTCGTTTCTCTCCGTCGGTAGCGCTCAGGTGGTGGGCACCGATGGAAACTTGGCTTTGACTCACCGAGCTGCGTGACACCAATTATCAACCTCAACAAGCCACGCATTTTAAAGAAAGTGCATCTCCGGTCCTTTATTTGATATTATTGGCTCAGATCTGCAAAGCAGCCGGGTGTATCTCTGCACCGAGCTGCAGTTTTTCATTTTAATTTATGGGTACGTTATACGCTCGTCAAAGATTTCCCAGAATTGGCAGTGTCTGGGCAACTGTTAAAAGATAATTAATCACACCATAGAAGAAAAAGGAGCCTGGAGTTTCAGTAATGGGCTTTGGGATTAGAATAACCTGGATTTAATTTGGGTTTTTTTTTTTGTCCCCAAAAAAGCTTTGTGTTTACCAAATAGAAATATTTATTAAATACTCATCACAGAAGGTGTTATGAACAAAGTAATGTCCACACCATGGACCAGACACAACACAGGTCAGCAGCTTTGATCACTTTTTTCCTGGTTTTCTTTTAATGTGTTTATCACCTACCTACAGATTCATATCAAACATTCAGTTGAAATTTGTCGACGTTTCTAAGTCTGGCTTGCTCATAATTAATTAGGAGAACGGTTACTAATATATGAAGCTTAAACCAGCCTTCCAAGTGGCATTTCTTCCAAGTGAGTAAACATATTGGTAAAAGCTTTGTACTTTGTAGAGATAGGTGGGGTCTGAAACCTGGCTCGCAATAATACTTATTCCTTTCTTTTTTTTCCTTTTTTCCTTTTTTTTTTCTTTTTTCTTTTTTCTTAATTATCTATTTTTTATTCTTTCTTTTCTGGGTGCGCAGATTTATTATAGACCACGTTTGCACTGGGAGCTGATGAACACTGAAAACTTGGACTTTCATTTCAATAGGAATATCAAAGCATGAGTTTAGTCGATATTGTCTCGAAACGTAGCCGAAGTTGGGAAATGCCTCAGTGCCATTTCTTTTTGAGTATTTTCTGCCGTTCCGGTTACGTTCATGGTCAGAAACTCTGTGATAACAGCTCCTGTTTCTGTGCTTCTGGTTCCGGCAAACGTGGGTGAGAAGGGATGGGGAAATTTCAGAATAATTAAAAAAATGCCTACTGATTGCTGTGGTTTATGATACTTTGTCCATCCCAGAAGTCCTTTTTTTTTTTTTTTAAATTAAATTATATTTCTTCTTCGGCAATGATGACCGTTTCTGGGTTTCTTCAGTTTTAACTAGAGATGCTGGGATTGTAGAACTGAATCCTGAAATCATGGGGCTTTTTTCCAAGTTGTTTAGAACTGTTTCCATGTTTTCTGCTGGTCTCCGAGAACGCAAGAATAAGAAGCTTAAGTAGTCCATAAGGGAGCAAGGAGCTCCTTACTGGCTGTTTTGTGGTGGTTGGCTGCCAGCGTGCCAGGATGACAGACCAGCAGTTGGTCTTTGAAGAAGAACTGGAGGTGAACGGCTTCAGCTCTTTGTCTCTGGGGGTGTTCTTCATCTCTCGGGGGTGTTCTTTATCTCTCGGGGGTGGCTGATGTCAGGAACCAGCAACTTTTGGGCTATTGAAGTGGTGCACGTTGTTTTAATCCATAAAATGCTTAAGGTTCATGAGTTTAGTTAATGATCTGACTTGAAGAAAGGTAGATGTTTATTATTGGCTGTTTTGAGGGACCGAGAGCTGCCAACCTCCCTTGCTGCGTGAGCTGTCTACGGAAGTCTGGGATGCTGAGGAGCCTGGGACAGGTGCCATCTACGTAGGAGAACTAAGGCAAGGGGTTGGCAGGTCTGAGTCACCACAAGGGTCCCAGCCGTGTTGAGGATCTGTGACTGGGTCCAACATGACCCAGCAGCATCAGGTTCAGCAGCCTCTTGCTGCTTTGCTTTTTCTCCCACAGGCAGGAATTATGGAGAGTCCTTGGACTCTTTTGCTGTCCTAGGAGTCGTGGAACGCTGTGGGTTGGAGATGATGAAGCATTAGCACCTTTGTATCCCATGTGCCACGTAAAGTCCCAGAAAGCAGCCTGTCAGGGCCTTACATTCCCCACATCGACCTCCCTCGTTGCAAGGAAGGGTGTTGCTGTAGCCTGAGCCTCTGTGTTCTTCTGACCGGATCGAAACGGGAGCTTTAATTGGTGTTGACGTTGTTCTTACAGGCAGCCCAGCCATGACTCACAGAAACCTGACTTCCACCAGCCTGAATGACATCTCTGACAAGCCTGAGAAAGACCAGGTAAGCTCCAGATTCAGCCCCTGCTTGGTGATGTGTTATGGTTAGGAGCTGGATCTTGGGGGAAAGAGACTCTCTTCCATAAAACTGGAGGAGAAGAAGAGAGCGAACAAGGTAAGTAGAGTGTTTCAGAGTCTTGTGACTGGATCCTCCATCCCTGGATTCACCATCCCTGGAGGTGTTCAATAGATGGGTAGACATGGTCCTCAGGAATATGGTTTAGCAATTTTTATTTCCTATTTCTTACTTATTTTTTTGTCAGAGTTAGGTTGATGGTTGGACTAGATGATCTTTGAGGTCCCTTCCAACCTAGACGATTCTGTGATTCTATGATTCCAGTTGGCAAGCACCAGTCCTTGCAAACAGCAGGTTAAACCCTTGCAAGGCCTGAAGCAGGTGACACCACATATATGGCATCTTGCTGATACCCATGAGAAAGGAGGGAAAATATCCAAATATTGATGTATTTTGGATTCTCTTCCTGCTGAGAAGAGGGTCTTCAGGGGTTACAGCGAGGACGTGCAGAGGAGCTAAGGTCCTGCAGCACCTGGGGCAAGTTCCACAAGGGCCATGGGGTAGATGAGGAGCGTCCAGGGGATCATGTCCCCACTGCAGCAGCTGGTGGAGCAGAAGATGCTACCTCACCCTGTGCCCTTTCCATCCGCTTGGAACAGCACCCATGCTGACAGGAAACCATGAAAGAGCAGCTCCGAAGTGGAGATGAGTAATTAAGTTAAAATTGGCCTTTGGTGCCAAGTCTCTGCGAATTTGACCAATTTCTTAGACTAGGGGAACGTTTGCGGGATATCATATGGGCTGCCTTTGTGTGTGTTCTCCTCCTTTCTGAGGGCTGAAGAGGGGTAAGAGTGAGTTTATTTCAACTCTTAGAAAACCGGTGGCTGAATAAGGTCTCTGTGCAAATTTCAAAAAAACCTTTGTCTTGGTTCAAAAAGTGGGTTATTCTCAAAGCGTGACTGTTTCTTTCGGAGAATCTTTTTTTTTTTTTTCCTCCCCGTGTCTTTCAGCTTTCTCTAGTCCCGTGGCTATTCTGAATGCAAATGAGGGCTACTTTGGAAAATTATTTGGGTAAGACAGTAATGCTGGCCAGCTGAGGGTGGCTCCAGTCCTCCAAATGGTGGCTGGTGATGATCTTCTGTAAGCACAGCTCTGCCTTAAAGGGGCACAGCAACATAATCGGTGTAGAAAAGTGAGTTGAGAGTAATTAAAGATCTTAAAAATAAATATGTTTATATAAATAAATGTACTTCTATGGAAAGAGAGTTTTGCATTGACCTCAGTGTCATTCAAAGTTGTAGCGTAGATCTATATTGGTTGGGTTGGCAAAATATCTCTTTCCTTTAATATATGCAGCAGCAACTGGGGAAAGAGTAGGATTGTAAAAATCGCTTTTTTTTTTCATTGGAAAGATTGCTATGTTTTATGGTTTTAATCATATTATAACTCCGGTTTTATAGACTAGCAGAAAACCAGGTCTGAATGCTGCAGGAGGCTTCTCAGATCTCAGTTGGAGTTGTCCCTCCTCGTGAAACATCCCTGGGCACATACAGATAATAGACTTTTTGTGTAAATTTGGTATAAAAATAGATATTTCGGTAGTCCTAATAGTGAAATCTGTTAATAAATCCAGTTCAGATGTACGCTCCAAAGCTTTTAGCTTTCAATGTAGATAATGCCTGTCTGTTTGTAGGGAAAACCGTTGCTTGCAAACTAACTAGTTCCCAAGAGCTGCTTAGTTAATTAGCCCCTGTCCCGCTGATGAACTCTGCACAATGGAACCCTTGTCCTGCTCGCCTCGCGGAGCCGGCCTGAGAAATCACCTCAGATCTTGGTTTTTGTTACTGATTGACTGAAACTCCTGTTTTGGTGAAGGTTGTGAAATGGTGGTGGTGCCTGGGAGCTCCCTCGAGCAGGAACTCCGCGTGCTGCGTGGGGGCAAGGGAATAACCCCTCCTGTTTGGGGAGACCTCATTGCTCTCTCCAACTCCCTTGTGGGGGCAAGGGAATAATCCCTCCTGTTTGGGGAGACCTTATTGCTCTCTCCAACTCCCTGAAAGGAGGGTGTAGAGAGGGGGGGGTCGGTCTCTTCTCCCAAGTCACAGGCGACAGGACGAGAGGAAATGGCCTCAAGTTACGCCAGGGGAGGTTCAGGCTGGATATTAGGAAAAATTTTTTCACCAAAAAGGGTCTCAGCCATTGGAATGGGCTGCCCAGGGAGGGGGTTGAGGCCCCATCCCTGGAGGTGTTCAAAAGACAGGTTGATGTAGTGCTGGGAGGTATGGTTTAGTGATGGTGATGCTTCTTGTTTGTTGTGCGGGTGTCTATTTTTGTCAGTTGGGTTGATGGTTGGACAAGATGATCTTTGAGGTCCCTTCCAACCTAGAAGATTCTGTGATTCTGTTTCAACACCGGGAGCTGGAAAGAACAGATTTCCTTGCTTTGGCAGCGGAGTGACCATCTTCTGTTATTTTGGTGTCCCATCTGGAAGGGACAGTGAACGAGGCTGTATAGAGAGGTGTGAGTTTGCTGGAGAGAGAGGTTATTCCAGCCTGGATTTATTGGTGTGGTTATTAGAACTGCGACGGGCTGAAATCAGTTCCTTGGAGCAGGACCAGGACCTAAGCTCTTTTATCACTAACTGCTTTTGCAAAGATAAAGGAGAGTGTTGTGTGCCCCTGTTTAAAAGAAGGAAAAGCTTTGAGCAAGCTTCTGTGTACCTTCAATAACTTTCCTGCCCACCTGCAGCCTTAATTGTCAGTTCTGCAACCCTTAATGCTAATTGGAATGGTTCAATTAACAGCGTAGCGATATTATAGCCACAATACTCCTTTAATCTGTGTTTCAGTAGGTTCTTACTGAGCAGAAAGACACATAAAGCCAGGCTGGATGGGGCCTTGAGCAACCTGCTCTAGTGGGAGGTGTCCTTGCCCAGGGCAGGGGGTTTGGAACCAGATTATCCTTAAGGTCCCTTCCAACCCAAACCATTCTATGATGCTATAAGTAAAATTCAAGTAGAGGTTCTGGATGGTCTCTCTTCAAACTCTGAAATGTGCTCCTTGGAAGATTTTACCCTTGTGTTTCTTTTTGTTTCTGTCTCTTTCTCTTCATGGAGCAGCAGTGGTGGCTGGTGCTTTGTAGTTAAGTCTGACCTCAAGCCCTCCCTTTTTTAGGTTGGCAGGGTGGGTTTTGTCATTGTCACCCACATGAGGATGTGGAGAGGGACACAGGACCATGCCTTAGGACAGCTCTTGCCCTGTGCACACGTCCAGCTGGAAGCAGCCATACCATCCAGTACTTTCATCCTACCTGGGAATGTCTTCTTACCCAATCACCAGCCTCCAACCCCAGTGATACTTAATTTTCTCCATCCTGAGATGCTTAGACGCTTAGGACCAGTTCCCTCACGTAGTTTTGGAAAATCAGGCAGGTCCTGAGCACCACCTGTGGCTTCCCTGCTCCTTTCCCCTTCGTGTTGTAAGGTCCAAGTTGAAAACTGGTGTCTCCCCTTGTACGACCCTGATAATTCTTTATTTGGGATCATTTTCTGTGGATCCAATCTCTTGCCGTGCTGGGGTTGCCTCACCACTAGTGGCCACCGAATTTTTCCATTCAATTCCACGTTTGCAACAACTGCTAGTTTCCAAGGATAGCCTTTGAGGTAAGAGGCAAGGAAATGAGCCTGGAGGAGGTCAGAAGAGGACACTCTGGGAGGGGGAAGGCTCTGTGCAGAAGGGTGGCATGTGTTGGCCTGTTATCTAATACTCTTGGCCACTTTTCTCTCCTCTTGGAGCTGTTACTGGCAGCAGGGCTTGAGTGTGGTCACCTGGGCCAGGCTGCTTTCAGGTGGCTTGGGTTGTGGTGGTTTTTTTTAGATAAGCCAATTAAGGAGCAGTAAGCAGCTGGGACCTCAGCTCCAAAGGCGAAAGCCCAGACTGATCCCTCCAAACATAGGCACTTCTTTGAGGTGCCTGATGCTGAGCCTGGTCTCCTGAGCTTCTTTTTCAGTCCCTGGGAGAGCTGGAATTGCAGAGTGGGTTCAGTTTTCAGGTGGGCTGGTTCCTGTCCCTTGGACAACTGCCTGGCTATCTACAGAAGCCCTGCTGATGTAGACAACTCTTAAGCTAGGACACATGATACGGGAGATGGAGCTGAGATGTCGGGGAGAACTTGTTTGGTGTGAGGGTGGTGAGAGCCTGGCCCAGGTTGGCCAGAGAAGCTGTGGCTGCCCCATCCCTGGAGGGGTTGAAGGGCAGGTTGGAGGGGGCTTGGAGCAACCTGGGCTGGTGGGAGATGTCCCTGACCACGACAAGGGGGCTGGAACTCAACGATCTTTAAGGTCCCTTCCAACTCTAACCATTCTGTGATCCTATGCATTTATATATCCGTGCCACGGCAGCACCTGGGTCAGGTGGGTGCTTCTGTCACAGCAGAGTGGAGAGGTGCTAAAATTGCTTGAGATCTTGCTGAGGGCATGGCAGTGGAGTGTTCTAGAGAGCGCTGGACGTGCTTAGGTTTTTCCTGAAGATCTGTCAGAGAATCCTCCAGAGGATGCCCTCCCTGTGGTTTGTCCTGCCCTGTGGAGAAATTGGGCAAGATGCCAATGTTCAAAGGCATGGTAGAAGTGGTGACAGTTGGACTGGCCTCCTCCAGGGACAGAGAGGGGTGAGAGAAGACAAGAATCCTCAGTTTTCCAGTGACTATAACGAGGAGCTGGGCTTTGCATCGTTACAGGGACGCGGGACCTGGTCAGGTGTCCCGTCCAGCTCGGTGGCTTTCTTGCAGATGGCAAAGATGAGTTAGAAGATTGACAGCACCAAGGATGAGGGACAATATTTGCAGTGGTCCCAAGGCAAGCTGACAAGTAGTAATAATGAGTTATGGTCTTATTAAAACGGTAGATAGGACTCAGCTTTGCCTGCATTGAGCGTTGTGAAGGTGGTTCCTTGACCCTTAGGGAAGGGCTGGTTTTATCCCGACTTGGGATT